TGAGGCCTTCCCCTGATGTTGCCTCCTGGCTCTGGGATTCAGAGGCTTAGTGCCTGTGAATGTGGGTTCCCCTCAGTCACCACAAGTAGTAGCCATTCTCTTCACACAAAAGGGAAAGAAACACCAGGACGTAAGAATGTAAGGAGAAGTCTGCTGCATCCGACCAGTGGTCCATCCAGTCCAACATCCTGTCTCACACAGCGACCAACCAGCTCCTCTGCAGGGCCAACAAACAATAGGGCATAGAGGCTGAGACCTTCTCCTGATGTTGCCTCCTGGCTCTGGGAATCAGATGCTTAGAGCCTCTGAATGTGGAGGTTCCCCTCATTCATCACGGCTAGTAGCCATTCTCTTCACACAAAAGGAAAAGAAACACCAGGACGTAAGAACATAAGGAAGTCTGCTGGATCCGACCAGTGGTCCATCCAGTCCAGCCTCCTTTCTCACACAGCGACTAACCAGTTCCTCTGCAGGGCCAACAACAGGGCAGAGAGGCCAAGGTCTTCTCCTGATGTTGCCTCCTGGCTCTGGGATTCAGAGGCTTAGTGCCTCTGAATGTGGAGGTTTCCCTCAGTCACCATGGCTAGTATCCATTCCCTTCACACAAAAGAACCATCAAAAGGACATATGAACGTAAGAAGCACCCTGCTGGATCAGACCAGTGGTCCATCTAGTCCAGCCTCCTGTATCACACAGCGGCCAAGCACGTCCTCTGCAGGGCCAACAAGAGGGCATGGGGGCCGAGGCTTTCCTCCAAAGTTGCCTCCTGGCCCTGGGATTCAGTGGCTGACTGAACATGGAGGTTCCCCTCAGTCACCCTGGCATAAGAACATAAGAAGAGCCAGCAGCAGGGGAGGGGGGTCTCTCCTCAAAAATAAGGTTTCTGGCACGGCTATTTGTGGGACAGGGCTTTTAGGTAAGGGGGCGGGGCCCTGAAATGCCCCACTGTAGCCACAGGCCTGTCACTCTATCTTAACATTTTCTGGGAAGATCCTGCTGATGGTATCTTGACGGAGCAAGCACTACCTCAAGGCCTTAGTAGTGGTGGACTTCCCTCTCCAGAGAGGCCCTGCAAGCCAACTCCATTCTAACTTCTGGAATGGTCTTCTTGGTGCTTGGGTGGGGTCAACAGTGGGAGGGCTTCTAATGTCCTGGCCCCACTGGTGGACCTCCTGATGGCACCTGGTATTTCTGGCCACTGTGTGACACAGAGTGTTGGACTGGCCTGATCCAACATTGGCTTCTCTTATGTTCTTAGGGCTTCTGGAGTTCTGGCCCCACTGGTGGACCTCCTGATGGCACCTGGTATTTCTGGCCACTGAGTGTTGGACTGGATGGGCCTTTGGCCTGATCCAACATTGGCTTCTCTTATGTTCTTAGGGCTTCTGGAGTTCTGGCCCCACTGGTGGACCTCCTGATGGCACCTGGTATTTCTGGCCACTGAGTGTTGGACTGGATGGGCCTTTGGCCTGATCCAACATTGGCTTCTCTTATGTTCTTAGGGCTTCTGGAGTTCTGGCCCCACTGGTGGACCTCCTGATGGCACCTGGTATTTCTGGCCACTGTGTGACACAGAGTGCTGGACTGGATGGGCCTTTGGCCTGATCCAACATTGGTGTCTCTTATGTTCTTAAAGCTTACTGTTGGAGACGTCTTTTGCCGGCCTCGACAAAAGCTGGAGGCCAGCGATGAACTGACGCTGCTTTTAAAGAGATCCCCTGCGATTTCTAGTGCTTACCTGATCTTTATTTATTTATTTATTTATTTTTCACATTTGTATCCCGCCCGTGGGCTCAGAGTGGGTCACATCGTCTCAAATAATACAATAAGGTTTCAAACACAATAAAACGGGACATTATAAACACTTTAAAAAACAGTAGTTATAGCTGCTGGTGCGAATTCCGACCCATTAATACTGTTTGGGGTTTTTTTTAATGGCCGGTTGCTGGCAGATGGGTGGCCAGTGGGTAGGAGACAGCAACCTCGGGGAGGCCATATGTGGATGCTCGGTGCCTCAGCCAAAAGCCTGGTGGAAGAGTTCTGTCTTGCAGGCCCTGCGGAACTGAGTAAGATCCCGCAGGGCCCTGATCTCGATGGGGAGCATGTTCCACCAGGTGGGGGCCAGGGCAGAAAAGGCCCTGCCTGCCCCTGGTCGAGGCTAAACGGACGTCTTTTGGGCCAGGGACCACCAGGAGATGTTGATTACTAGAGCGTAAAGCTCTTTGAGGCATGTACGGGAAGAGGCGGTCCCTTAGATATGTTGGTCCCAGGCCGTATAAGGCTTTGAAGATGTATGAACAATGTATGATTGTTGTTGTTATTTCCAGTTGCTCCTAATCCACCGTGGGGAGGGGCTGTGGCTCAGTGGTAGAGCATCTGCTTGGCATGCGGAAGGTCGCAGGTTCAATCCCTGGTATCTCCAGTGAAAAGGACCAGGCAGTAGGTGATGTGGAAGAGCTCTACCTGAGACCCCGGAGAGCTACTGCCAGTCTGAGTAGAAAACACTGACCTAGATGGACCGACGGTCTGATTCAGTATAAGGAAGACTCATGTGTGTTCATTGTTAGTGCCTAAGGACACTGGAGAGCTAGTCTGGTGTAGTGGTTAGGAGCACGGACGCTAATCTGGGAGAACCAGTTTTGATTCCCCACGCCTCCACATGCAGCTGCTGGTGTGACCTTGGGTCAGTCACCAGTTCTTCCAGAGCTGTTGTCTCAAGGTCAGTTCTTGAGAGAGCTCTCTCTGCCCCACCTACCTCACAGGATGTCTGTCGTGGGGAGAGGAAGGGAAGGGAGATTGTAAGCCACTCTGAGACTCCTTCGGGTTGTGAAGGGCAGGCTATACATCCAATCTCTTCTTCTTCTGTATACTTTATTTGTGATATACTTTATTTGTGTGCACATATGAAACACTGAATTTTTTTTGTAACGTTTGCAAGCTGCTCCAGGAACCTCACTTCAAAAGACGTGTGCACACTTCGCAATTAAAACATCAAGCCTTTGGTGGATCTCTAATGCAGCTTAATTGGAGACACTTGTCATCGGTTCCTTCCTTGCTGCGGTGGCAACCGGCCGGATCCCGTATTCCTTTAATGTTCTGTCTAAGGGTGTTTTCACCAGATAGACAGATAAAGAGTATATCTTGGGTGTTTCAACTTCGGGGGGTTGAAATGCTCTGTCTGGTGGTGTTCACGGTACATGGAGAGGGCAGGACTCTCTTTTCACACTGGAAACATTTTGGGAGCAACTGCGTTTCCATCTGAAGCCCTTTCCTCTTGAAATTCTCTTCCTTGTCCAACGAGCCAGCTGGAAGACCATCGCTTTCCCATTCCTTCCTCTCTAGTACCTTCTCACGAAAATCCCTCCGGGACTGTAGAGAGATTTTCTCTTCACTTTCTTTTTCTCTCGCCCCGAATCGGAGGTCACTTCGCTGGCCTGCAGAAGCAAAGGCGAAACCTTAAACCCCCCGCCACGCTGCTGAAATCCAAATGGACCGAGATGAAACCGTGCGGAGAGCCAATGTGGGGTAGTGGCTGGTGCATCGGACTAGGATCCGGAAGATCCAGGTTCGAGTTCCCCACTCGGCCCGGCAAACATGCTGGGTGACTGTGGGCCATTGACAAACTCTCGGCCTAGCCTACCTCTCAGGGTTGTTGTGAGGATAAAATGGAGGAGACGAGAACATTGTCGGGTGCTTTGGGTCTGCGCTGGGGACTGGGTTGCCAGCTCCAGCTTGGGAAATACCTGGAGATTTGGGGGGTGGAGCCTGAGGAGGGCAGAGTGTTTTTTTGAGGGGGGACTACAATGGGGTATTATTGCCATAGAGTCCACCTTTCAAAGCAGCCATTTTCTCCGGGGGAACTGATTTCTGTCACCTGGAGATCGATCAAGATGGGTTAGTCTGTCTGCAGCAGCAGAAAAGAGCACCCAAAGACTAACAAAAGTTATGGCAGGGGAGGAGCTTTCGGGAGTCACTGCTCACTTCTTCGGATACTTCTAAAGAAGTGAGCAGTGACGCACGAAAGCTCCTCCCCTGCCACCTAATTTGTTAGTCTTGAAGGTGCTCCCGGACTCTTGCTCTCTTTTACTGCTACAGACAGACGAACACGGCCACCTGTCTTGATCTGTCTCCGTGGAAGGCTCCACATTTAGCCATACGGAATGGAAATCCATCAGTCGGCTCAACATTAGGAAGAACTTCCTGACAGTCAGAGCCAGTGTTCCCTCTAAGCTGAGTTAGTGTGAGCTAGCCTCCGGCTCACACATTTTTGTCTGAGCTCAGGAAGGATGGCTCCAGAGCAAACCAATTTATGTAGAAGCCAAATGGCTCGCTCACAAATTTAATGTCAGTAGCTCACAAAGTGGAATTTTTGCTCACAAGACTCCACAGCTTAGAGGGAACATTGGTCAGAG